AGAGGAGAGAGGCGGGGCAACTGCCATGCTTCGCTCGTTTGCAAGCCATGATCTCTCTCGAGGAAAAAAAAATATTGCGCTCGCCTCGCACGGTAGTAGCTCATTTTCTCATGGGCGGGCCAAATTCTCTGGGCGGGCAAAGCAGAGAAAGGGGAGGTAACCTTTCCCCGTATGACGACATAAAGGGAAGATTCCAGATTGGGCCATCTGAACTTTCATTTTCTCAAAGGCAAAGCAGGATACCCAGGGCTCAGTTTACACCTATCGACATATCTAGCCACTGGGGGACCATAGGCAGGCTAGGGGAACTCATATTAATTTTAAAAAACGTCATAAAGTGAAATTTTCATGCCATGGGACCTTTAAATCTTGAAAGGAAATGCAATGCAAAGCTAAGTTTCAGTAAACATCTCCATAGCAGGAATGCTTTTGACACCACATGCTACAGCGGCTACCAAAGCTAACCAACCAACACGTAATTCTGAGAGTGAAAGAAAAAAAAGACGCTGATGATCAGTCTGCCAGTAGCAGGTGCGGCTCGATTCAAATGCCTGTCAAAGCTAATGTATGCTAATCAGCTGTTGGATTTGCCTTTTTTGGCTGTCACACGTAATGAAAGACAAGAATATGTCATCAGACACATTTTTTTCCCCTCTTGCAGAATTATCAAAGCATGAAGGTGGTGGTGGGCCATTCATATGAGGAAGAGAGAGAGAAGAGGCATCACAAAATATCAGAAAACAACTGCACAGCCCACGTGGTGGATCATGACAGCAGTCAAGTGAATAACTCAAGAAGGGGAAGCTTTGCAGAATATTGATTTAATGCTGCATTCATGCAGGGAGGATGCTCACCCACATTACGCACGCTCTAATACTCCCCAGCATACCTTGGGCCTTTGGTTTTCCGAGCCACTCTGAGAAAAAAGAGGCTGGAACATTCCTCTCGCATGAGCATTTAAGCACAATTCAGTGTCTCCGAATCGAAGCGTGAACTGAATCGATCAAAATCCAAAGAATAGTGTCTCCTGTGGTGAAATGCCATGTGATTAGCGCTCATTTTGTGGAAAATAGGGTGTAACTGAGTAAACAAGATGGCTTTATGAAGCATCCCGATGAATTGTTGTGCAATACTGTGTTTAATGGCATGTGGAACATTTATTAAATTAAAATAACTCGGAGTGAAGGATATATGTGAATGGAAGTGGCTTACAGGTGCACAAACAAACGGGTATCTTACGAAGAATGCGTCAGTCTTGAGAATAAAGGAACACTGAATATTATTTAAATTGCATTTAAAGCAAGATATTATAGCCATCTGATGCATTTTTGACCCATAAATAAATAAATAATTCAATAAAGAAATAATGAAATAAAATGAAAATTAACCATTCAGGATGTGTTACAACGAAATGACCATAAGGTGATTTACTTTTTTCTTTCTTTCTTTCTGTCTTTCTTTCTTTCTTTCTTTTCCTTTTTTCTTAAGGTTTTTATTGCATTCGTTTAAACATTTCCTTACAGGTGGATGAAATCTCATATAATAAATATTAACAACTGAGTACATTAAAAGGTGATATACTTTTGACTCTTTCTCATAATTTTATATAGCCTATAACTGTACTTATGTCATTTTGATTACATAAATTTAAAATTTTTTGATGAAAATGGCACCCCAAGTAATATCAAAAATGATCTTCTATTGCAAACATAACATAATTTATTGGATATTCTCTCTCTCTCTCTCTCTCTATATATATAACATTTGGTTAGCAGCATTTAATTAAGTTGTCTTACTATATGAAATAACATTATATTTTGAAAGACAATATATGTAAAGAGTTGTTATATTTTTAAGCTTTAGTTTTAAAGTACAATTCTAGTAGCAACACCTAGTTTCGTTTATTATATTTAAAATAAAATAAAAATTAAAAGTTGTTTTGAAATAAAAAGAAACGTCCTTCATTAGATGATTAGAAGTAGGCTATTTACCAATAAAATTATGTCAATGCAAACATCAATTAGAATATTTCGTTTATATGATTTAGCTATTTCAATTTATTTAGTCTAAAATCTATCACAGATAGAATACGTTAAAATGTAATTGCTAAACATATTTGAATACCAACTACTTTATTTGAATATCAAGTCTGTGTGATGCTGTATTTAAAATGCATTAAACCAGCATGATTGCTATCATTAATGCACACGATTATCAATAAGTAATCAATAAATGAAACCATTTATGCTGATTCTTACTGGCGCAATGTTTGTTCCAGCAGCTTTGAAGACGTTTTGACCTCAGACATCAGAAGACATTCCCAATTTTTCTTCTCACACATTCTTGCGCACCGAAATCAGCGAGGAGGAGCGTCTGTCCCTTCGCTTGCGCCCAATGGAACAAAGAGCAGCGTTATCAATGTGCACGCGTTCAGCCAATAGGAGCGCTCCGCTTCTGATGACGCGACGCGACGCGACGCGGCGGCTCTGGTCTCTTCCCACTGCGCAGGAAGCGAGACGCGCAGAAGCACCAGAAGTTAAACGCAAAGGTAACGCGGCACACGCAACAGCAAGCAGCCGTTTTTTTTTTTTTTACTGTAACCGCTCGGAGTTTCCCGCGAATGCAAGAGGAACCGTCTCGAGCAGAATAAATGGTTGGTATCGATATTACTTTTTTTATTATTATTATTCTACGAAAAACACTTTGCAAGTCGTGTTAGATGTTTATCGTAGGTTTTGAATAACATATCAGTTTTTAATCAGATTTTGTTTTGATCTTTACTGAGGTATTCTGCAATAACAAACGTTTAAAGTTAATTATATATATATGTATATATATATAACTTTTTTATATATTATAGGACTATTTTATAGTAGGCTAGGCTACTATCGATTTTGTGTATTCTTACATTATTTGTAAATTTGAGTTGATTCATTTCACTGCTTGTCTTTTTTGCTCACACATTCTTGCGCACAGAAATCAGCGAGGAGGAGCGTCTGTCCCTCCGCTTGCGCCCAATGGAACAAAGAGCAGCGTTATCAATGTGCACGCGTTCAGCCAATAGGAGCGCTCCGCTTCTGATGACGCGACGCGACGCGACGCGGCGGCTCTGGTCTCTTCCCACTGCGCAGGAAGCGAGACGCGCAAAAGAATCAGAAGTTAAACACAAAGGTATCGCGGCACACGCAACAGCAAGCAGCAGTTACCGCTGTAACAGTATATATGTATATATATATAACTTTTTTATATATTATAGGACTATTTTATAGTAGGCTAGGCTACTATCGATTTTGTGTATTCTTACATTATTTGTAAATTTGAGTTGATTCATTTCACTGCTTGTCTTTTTTATGAAATAGCCTACATCTTTTATGTTATAGCCTAAACATTTTCGACCTGATCTAGTCCAGCGTAAACCTATTGACCCGTTCAAGAATTGTATTATTTCAGAAAATTGTATATTTTCAAAATAATCTCGATTTTATTTTAATATTCTAAGGAGGTGTATTATCATCCCATGTGAAAATCTGATGCCATTTGTCTGATTTTGTGTAGAATTTTGACGCGTGCTGTAAAGTTGTGACAGCCGGTGACCTGTGTCAAGCAGTTGTGTTTGTTTTTCTTCATTAATCATATGCAGACTGCCATATGCATGTTTAAATGCGGCTCCTAAATATAAATAATGCTTGTATTAATATTAATTTAACATCTTGAGAGCTGGGAAACCTGAGTTTAGAAAAAGAAAAGAGGCTTATTTAGATCGCAATGCATTGCAATGAGACCTTGCAAGGCTGTTTGATGTCTGAGGGTCTTCAGATGTTTTTAATTAGGACCTGTAAAAAAAATCAGTCTGTCCTGTTCTCCGGGGCGATGCTTTGAAAAAAATTTTTTTTAAATAAATAAACAAAAAAGGCAGGAGAACACAGAAAGTCACTTCTGTGGAGGATCGGCTAATCAAATTTTTATAGCATTTTCTCATTTTTCCCTCTCTCTCTAACCTCCCTCCCTCCCTCGCTTTCTTGATCCCGGTGAATGAGTTTCTCTTTGTCTGCTTCTTTGGTAACCACACCTCCCCCCAAAACGCAGCCGGCTCAGACACCTGAAGGCTAGACATAATGATCAACGCAGTCCCCATGAGTCTGGATGCCTGCCAGTTGTTTTCGCTCTTTTTTTACACTACTTTGTCTCTTCTTCTCTTTTTTCCCCCTTGCATCTCTTGCCCTGCACAATCAAGGGGCCAGCGCTCAATGTTGGGGGCCAGTATGCAGTATATGAGGGGCCAACTCTTCTGCAATGTATGGACCACGGAGAAAGAAGTCTGGCACACATGCAAGGAGAAGCATGAACAGCAGTGTCTCCTTGTGTGTGTGTAAGCGGGAGTCTTTATTCAACCGTGCTGTTCAAAATTGCATATCAAGTCTCTCTTTTTTGCCATGCAAGACCTGTATTCAGTGCATGTTTTGCTTTCGTAAAGAGCAAGGTTGGCTTATTAAGATCCAGATACTGTTGGTTTTCTTTAATCTGTGGATTAGACCGAGCGTTGGATTCTCAGCTTGTTTAAGTGCTTTGTCTGTGTAAGATTAGGTTTACCGCATGTGAAATTACGTACAGTGAGGCGTAATAATCCAAGAATGATTGTGCGATGAGGAAAGCTGAAAAGATGCAGTTGTGGGTTGATAAAACACCCTTTTTTGTACAGTACCATGAACAGTGCATTATAATTTTAGAGGAATTGTGTGTTGAAGACTATTACAGTTGACAAAAAAAATGTAAACTAACAAAATGAATAAAAAAAGGGACAAAAAGCACAATTAATATTAATGTTTGTTTGATTTCAGTGTAGGATTCAATATGGCAATTTAAAGTGTAAGTGCAAAAAAACAATCTTTGTTAATTTTAGTAGTATATTTTAAATTATAGTTATCATTACCACACCCAAATCTCTCTCACATTTGAATTACGTTAGTGTCTGATTCAGCAGAATGAGTGTCCCAAAAAAATCGCCATTTTGTCTCTAGCTAGTGCACTTTGATTTGCTCGACGTGCAATATTTTGGATGTAGCCTGCTTGTGTTTTCTCACACAGCTCAGAGCCGACATGTTGGGAGTACAATGGCACTAAGTAGATGGCAGATCCTTTCTTTCTCGCTCTCCTCCTCTGCCATAAGCCTTTGAAGGGGTGTAATAAAAGGTTCAATAGAAGCAACAAGCTGTTTTTTTTCTCTCCTCTCACGCGTTCTTTAGGCATTCTACCTGCACATGAATAGGAGGCCACTGAGACTCTCTGACAGAGGAAGAGTGTTTATTGAGGGCTAAAGGGCTCAATACAATCAGACAGCCTCACGTAGAGAACTGCGCGGCTTGGGCGAGAGGCCATGGGCGTGTGTTCTCCCTAGTGTCACACCCATTGACTCCGTTTTGAGTGAAAGTTTTTGGGCTGCCAAGAGGAACATTGTATAGAAACGCACACTGTGGATATAGATATCAAGTATGCTTTTAGTAGATGTATTTTTGATCGTTGCAAAGACTTAAAAATTAAAGGTTCTTTATTGGCATTTATGGTTCCATTTAAGAATCTTTCCATTCCACAAAAGGTTCTTTAGATTGTTAAAATGTTCTTCACACTACGAAAAAAATGGTTCTTTTAAGAACTGTTCAGTGAAAGGTTCTTTGGGGAGCCCAAAATGGCATCTCTTTGAAAGCTTTATTTTTTAGAGTATAAATGTAATTAATTATTCAAGAAGAGATTGATAAACGCTTTTGACTTTAGTACCATCAACACAGATGAATTCTGGGAGTGATTCGCTATTTTAATGAGCAGTTTTGATTTGCAGTTGCAGTTTTAGTTTGTAATCCTTCACACAGTTGCTTGCTTAAAAAAAAAAGGAGAAAAGAAAGAGGAACTGATTGATTTTTAATATGTTTAGTTTTTTTGTTTTTTTTGGTAGTTTAAGAAAAGAAACAATATTAAAGCACTGAATATTGGTGTGGACATGTCCCTGTCAATGACTAAGGTGTATCAAGGAATAATTTGCTCCAAAATTATTTGTTCCAAATTTTTTGAAATATTATCTATTCACACTGAAGTTTCAAATTTTTGGGTGATCTATCTAAATTTTAAGATTGCACCTTCCTGACATGTCAAACAGCATCAGTAAAATGGGTTTATAAAGAAATTCGGTTTACACCTATACATATCCCTTCTAAAAATGTCATATTTTTGATGAATATCATCTTATGTAGCAGTTTTCAATTCAGTATGTATA